AATGAATGAACTTAAAAATTCTGCGATTATTATTCCGAGATTTCCAAAAATGTGGATACCAAAAGGCTGAATCGAATATTTTTCATTTCTGTAATTTACCTAATACAATATTGTATTATCTTGAAAAACAGCAGCCAAATCTTCTGAGTATAAAATTAAAAGTGAAGGGCCTGGTACACCGCCAACAATTTTTTCCTTATGCATGAATTGCAAACTCACACCTCAAATTACTTCTGAATCCTGATTCAAATACTGATATACTATAATCCCAAAATGGAAGGCACTAAATTTTCAGAAATGACTGACGTTTTTGCCTTAAATCTGTCTCTTCATTGGCGTACGGAACAGATGAGGAAAAATCATGATAAAATATATAGAATCACAAACTTGACAACAATGTTATCGTTTTAATGGTGTAATATTTCTGAAAATTTAGTGTCTACTATTATGGAACTGTACTATAGTATTTCATTTTTCTCTACGAAAACAAGAATTGCAATCCGTTTTAACGCATAGCATAACTGTTGGAAGAACAAGAATTAATTAAATCTTAAAGAAAATTACCAATTTTTTCATATGAAAGGAAGAATAATGTTATCTGGAATTGTTTCATTAGAAAAGCTGAAAACTACATTCCTCGGTTTTTCGGTGTTGACTAACTCGAAACACGCCATATCTTTCTTGTTGATTCCCAGAGAACAAAGATAATTGCGAGTTTCTTCAGAAAAAACAATGTGGAAGTGACATTCAGACCACATGCCAGGTTATCTGATTTCCTTTTCAATGCCAAAGATAAGGTAGACAAGTTGGAGAAATCTGGCTTAAGTTTCCGGAGTGTAATAGTGTTTATGTGGGACAATGTGGCCGAAATTTCGAAAAACGGTATGCTGAACATGAAAGGACCTTCAGACTAGGAAAATTTAATTCGACGTTTTCAAACCATTCCTTGGCATGCAACCACAAGTTTCCGAATCTAAACGATACGGACATTTTGCACTATGCAAGGAAAGGTTACAAACTCAATTATTTAGAATCCTTGGAAATTCACAAGCATAAACATTGCGGGTGTAACCTATTAAATGATCAAATCGATTTAGTTTACTCACCGGTTTTCAAATTGGCACATCCGCATTGTAACTTGAAAATTCAGGTACTCAATCAAGCCAAGTACCTGTATTATTACTTATAGGGGTACATAAGGGCTAATGTAATTAATCATTTTTAGTTCAATGCATAAGTTTGAAAATGTCCTTATAGGACGAAACTGCAGTAACGTTAGTTACAAATAAAAGTGCTAAAAAACATAGAAAGTTTCAATTCTCTTTTCTTCATTAATTTCACTATTTGCACATATTGTTGAATGCTATATCTTACCATGGTGATTTGGAAAAACAAACTGAATGAATGACAACTAATTTGACAGGTGTAGATCAAATTGGCACATCCGCATTGTAAATTGAAAATTCAGGTGCTCAATCAAGCCAAGTACCTGTATTATTACTTATAGGGGTACATAAGGGCTAATGTAATAAATCATTTTTAGTTCAATGCATAAGTTTGAAAATGTCCTCATACGACGAAACTGCAGTAACGTTAGTTACAAATAAAAGTGGTAAAAAACATAGAAAGTTTCAATTCTCTTTTCTTCATTAATTTTACTATTTGCACATATTGTTGAATGCTATATCTTACCATGGTGATTTGGAAAAACAAACTGAATGAATGACAACTAATTTGACAGGTGTAGCTTCAACAAGTAGCTGTTATCAATTGTCAAAGTTATATTTGTCAAAGTTATATTTGTTCATTTTATATGAATTTATTTGACATTTTTGGAAAATTTTCAGAAAGGTTTCCGAGAGTCCCAGCGTGTCTCGGTCAATGATCTTATCTAAAAATATTAGCCTCCAGAAAACTTGCACATTTTAGACTCCAGCTCTTGAACTACAATCGTACTAACAAGTTCAAGTAAACAATAATACCAATAACAAGTTATATTCTTTTGTCCGTTTTTCATTCGCACATATTTTTTGTAAAGCTTCGTTGGCAAACTGATTTATCACCTATAAGACATAAATAATAGTGATTAGTTCCCAATTACAATGTAACAACGGTGAAACGATATACGGTTGCCCGAGCCGGTGTTTTATATAAAGGACGAAACCCAATTTTATGGCACCTTCAAATTATTTCTTCATTCGTGGAATGATTGCTCTGACTTAAAGGTATTGAATGAATTAAAAAAAAGTTTCAGTAATGAAGGAAGAAATATATCATAGTCTCATTATCAGTTATATAGTTAATTGATGATGAATGGAGAAGATAAGAACATTAGTGCTAATCGAATATACCTACTCATAGTAATATCGTGGAACGTTTTTTGTCTATATATGTGAAAAAACAAAAATGTTGTTTCAAATAGCATCATGTCGTTTCCTTAATACATTTTTTTGAGCTATAAGTTCCGATTTCCGGCATTGTATAAAGATAACAAAATCTGAATCATATTTACGTGTCGAAAAGTATATACTGTATGTGATGGAAATATTGAGCAAGGTGAACAGCGTCATTTTTACATCAAGAAAAATGGAATATGGAATAGAAAATATTGTATTACTGCAAATATGCACTGATACGATATCACATCACATCAAGCATATGCCATCACTACTTACCATATGCATATTAAATGCATCTTTCAATTGCGAACAACCATGGACTTTATTTGAAAAAACTCCCTTGCACTTTGAACCTATCACCTACCTTATACAAACCATCGCTAAATGACCTAGACTATAGACTTTCATGTCACATAAATGCGAGTTTTTTTGCATTTTTGATAATGACAAAAGCATGTTCTTAACCAAAGCTCATGTATGTTGAATAAAAGAGAGATAAGAGATTAAATGAGATACGTGATATAATAAATGGTAAAACTAGAACCTCTTTTGTAGAATAAATACAAAACAAATGCTTTTCCAATCACCAAAACTGCAATACTCTTCTCGACGCGCGTTTCACCAACTAAGTTGGCGTCTTCAGATGATGTTTTGTGGAAATAGTTGGTATAGTTCAAGTGAACGATATGGTGCAACCTATCTTCCACCAGCTCCCCTTGAATAATATAGTTAGGGAGCTAACAAATTTCATTATTCAATAATGAATTCATTTCCACCATTAATATGGAAGAGTTCAATCTCTATATAGTCTTTTTCAACTAAAATTACTTTTTTAAAATCCTTTTCTGGAAGTATTCAATTTCTTCCTTATGATTTCAATTGTAGGAATCTCATTGCTTAACAATTTTATATTGTTTTTTTTTGAAGATTTTATTAGATGAACATCTAAAGTTTTGGTAATCATGTATGACATCGCGTCTTGCATTCATAAAATTTGTTTTTGACTATTTTAGTACAATTGAGAAAGGAATTTCGGTCAAATCTGTTGTAATAGTTTGTTTTCCTCGAAACCAAACTTGAGATGTAGATTCTTCTATACATTGAAACATACTCTCTGTGTTTCAATATTCAAATGCATCCGAATTTTATTCACTGGTATCTCATTTCCGCATTGTTCACAATCGCTATTGGAATCACGCAGGAAAAAGTCTGCGCTGTTGTCACACTCGTTATTACTATTGGTACTTGGCCTGGAACGCCACATTTTAAACAGATAACAAAAATTTTAAGTAATTATAACTGCACCAATATCGAATTTCAACACTCAAATCGCGATCAGCTCCTGAACTGAACATTGATGACACGACGGCGATTACCATCACCGCATTCCCCGATTTCTATTCGTCAGCGTAACATGACTTCAAATTTAATTTTATGACTCTTCAGCCAATCATAAAACTCGATTAGTAAAAATTATCCAATACGAACCGCCAATTCTACAGTCCACGTGGACTAGTTCGCAGCCGGTTCATTTTCATGCATTGGTTTTTGAGAGTGCCGCCAACTTTAAGTGTGCACAGTATCGTTTATTTCGACTATACCCTTGCGAAGTCGTGGAGCTTTGAGATATACTAGAGAAATTCAGTACACACCGTTCTTGTAGTATTCGTCTACAAAGAAGTCCGGGATGGCATATGATTATTTTTCAAGCAGAGCTTGGTATGCCCATTTTGTTGTTTGATAAAATAGTCACGTGTAATGTAGCAAAGATACTATATTGATTTTTATCAAATCAGATTCGTAATTTATCCTAATCATTTCATCACATTATACACCATACAAATTGAATTATTAGCTTGAGAGTTATCACAAAATTGAAATTATCGCTCGGAAAAATAAATTCAGGCAAAGTCACACAACGTGTGATGAAAATGGGTTGCGATTGCGTTGTTTTTTTTAGGTAGTGAACATTTTAGGTCGTATTTTTGATGAGTGTTATCTTTAGGTACATAAGTACCTACATTTCTATTTAAAAATGTCATATGCCGACAAATTGGAAATGAACACAATTCGTTTGAAAAAACAGTTGATGGGTTTAAAGATTGTTTGATGATGGGCACTCAATATAATGGAGAATGAAATCTGTTTTCGAAGTCTTTTTGATACAATAAAAAATAATGCCTGATAGAGAAATATGATGATGATGATGATATGATATATGATGATGAAAATATGTTCTTACTATAATAATACTAATATTAGTAAAACTCAGCGCGAGATTGGATATTCTGTGTTTCAGTAGCTAGGATGTTAGTAGTCGTGGAATATATTTAGACAAAATTGGGTCATTTTATTTCGGAACTAAATGGTAAATCGAGGAGATAGAAACGAGCTAGGAATTTCAGTGTTCTATTTTCATGTAACGACGGAATACAATATTTTTGGATCTGTTTTATGTTGTTAATGGGCGTATTAACCTATATAGATTCATTTATGATATATGATTTCACGCCTACTTCAGAAGGAGGTGAAATTTGGGAACTTCTTATGACTCATTCGCATAGGACAATGATTAAATATTTATTAATTTTTCCTTTTTAGGTTTGGAAGGTGATATTTTCAATATTCCTTTATTACAATCGAGGCAATGAAAGAATACACATGTGTCATCAATTTGCGCATCTAATATAAATCAACGGACTGAGAAAACCAGACAGTGTGGCTATTGCTCCTATGTAATTCTCCATACAACCATCGAACCATACAATGAATTACAGAAAAAGAAAACATGAAACTCATGAATAATTGTATTTTTTTTATCTTTTGATGCAGAATTTTCAGTAATAGAAAATATATATTATATATTATGAATGAATCAAGGAATCGTGAATATATAATTCTAACTTACTACACAGGGTATATGTTGCAGAATGAAGATTGTTCCTTTATGGTGGATGAGCCCACTGTATATAACTATGTTGTTGTTGTTATTTGAAAACATTCGAGTTTGCTTGTTAAAATATACGTTCCAAAAAAGTCATCAATTATATTTAATTATATTCAATCTTATACAAATTGAATCACCCCCAATTGATGAGGAGCCCAATACAGAAGTAGAAATCCCCATATGATATCTGCACCACTCGTGTTTTCTTCTGTTGACTGCTTTTGTTAAAGAATCTGCAACCATTTTCTTGGTGGAAACTTTTGTGATGATAAAAATTCTTTTGACAGCTGTCCAATGTTCTTGTCCTGGGTTTGAGTTTAATTTGCTCAGAGCCCCCACTGCAAATGCTATATCAGGTCTAGTAAATTGAGCAGCATATAACAAACTTCCAATAGCCATCTGGTATGGCACATTCTTCATCATCTCCTTTTCTGCAACATTTGAAGGACTCATGAACAGGCTGATTTTTTTGCCAATTCGTTGAAACTGGTTTGCACTCATTCATGTTGAATTTCTGCAAAATTTGGTTGATATAAGCTTCCTGATCCAAAAATATTTGCCCAGACTGTATGTTTCTTGTGATATGAATACTCAGACAGTAACTGGCTTCACCAAGGTCCTTAATTTCAAACTTTTTCATAAGTTCTTTCTCAAACCAATTATGTGTGTCATTGCTTTTCATTTCTTTATCCAATTTTTGATTCCAGAGACGGCTGGACTGTTTTAGGCCGTACAAGGCTTTTTGTAGTCTACACACTTTCTTGATGGCGTCTCATTTCTCTTCAAAACCTTCATGCTGCTCCATGTATATTTCATCATCTATTAATTCTGATTGAAGCAATGCCGTTACAGCATCCATTTTATGAATATTAAATGAATGCTTGTTTTTAAATAGTTTATTTTGTGTAAAAGAAGGCTGAAAAGTCGCCCTTTTCTGAACTTTGAAGGGGCGTAACTTTGTAAATAAGGGAGAGCGCCGCTTTCTTCATTCGGATTCGTAATCTACGCATCAAAATACGTAAGTACACGCAAACATTTTTTCAAAATCGCCGGGTGTCCACAAAACGAAAATTTACCTTATTTTTCATTAGAGAAGAATATTCTTCTTGCATCGCTCTTATCCATTGCTCAGAATCACTTCTATTGAGAGCTTCATGAACATTTTTTGGTTCGTCAACTGCCTCCATTAATATGGCAGCTTGTATGACATAATCATTGAATTTTTCTGTCAGTTTCCGTTCTCGTAAAGAGTAACTGTTTTCTGGTTGCTTGGATACGTTTTCTACGTTTATTGGTTCATTTCGGCAATCATTAGTATCACATACTGGGCGTGGCTTGATTTCTCCATCAGTTTCTTGGTTTGCTTGTTCATTTTCAATAAGAATATCTTCAGATTGCGATATTTTTATTTATGTGGGATATATTTCGGAAATATTGTCATCACAATATGCTTCTTCAAACACGTTTCCCGAAAAATGAAGACTAGTTGAAGCCATTTGTTGTTCGTCAAAAATAACATCGCGCGCCTTACGTACATCATGTGTTTTCATATTTATTAGCCGGTATGCCTTGGAATCTTCGCAATAACCTACAAACACGTAGTTTTGTGTTTTAGAGTCAAATTTTGTTCTCTTCACTTTAGGTATGTGAACATACGCGACACAGCCGAAAATTCGTAGATTTTCCAGATTTGGTTTTCGTCCGCTTCACGCTGGGGTTTTGCCGTGAACTGCAATGGTAGGACTCTGTTTTTCAGGTAACACGCCGTATTAATTGCTTCCGCCCTATATTCTTTAGATAAATTTGAATCTTGCAACATTGAACGGGCCTTTTCAACTAGAGTTCTGGCGTGTATTTAATTGTTGTTTGATGTTGAATACCTTTTTGGCGTAAATATTGTTGAAAATTTCGGTTTACCCACTCAGTTCCATTAGATATCAGTTCTAATAGCGGCAATTTTATTACCCGTACTTGTTTCAACCTTTGCTGAAAATTCTTTAAATTTTTTCAACACCTTATTTTTGTTAATCAGGAAATAAACGAATGTTTTTCGGGTAAAATCATCAGTAAATGTGAGAAAGTATAATTTTTTCCCAATTGATTTTTCCGGTATCGGTCCGCAAATATCCGAATGGATGAGTTCCAATTTTCTACTGGCTCTTTATAGCCTTACCTTCGGAAATGGTTTTCTAGTTTGTTTTCTTTGAATACAACTGTCACACAATTTTTTACTATGATTTTTATCTATCTTGTAGTAACTTCATACCACCAGTAACTCATATGTCCTAGTCTTCGGTGCCAAATATCATAAGACAAACATTTTTGTGATTGTGTATGACACATTATTTCTTATCGTTGGTGTATGCAATCTAACTTATAAAGCCCACTTTCAGTTAAATTCGCAACTGCTATAACTTTTCCTGCAGAAATGTTTGATATCTGACATATGTCATTCTCAAAGATAGTTTTTAATCCTTTTCTTCCTAACTATCGACATGAAATTGAATTGAATTCAAGTCCAGGTGCATATCTTATGTCACGTATTGGACTTTTGACTTCATACCATTGACATTCAAAAGAACAGTAATTTCACCAATTTTTTTTATATCATCTCTCCAGATGCAGTGATTATTGTATCTTGATATTAAACATATGCTCCTGAATCAATATTCCAGTCATTTGGGTTGAGATTTCCAATACCAAGGACTGAATATGAGCTCCATTCGTCTTTTCACTTCTTTTCGAGTATCTACAGTCTTTTGACAGATGACCTACTCCATGACAGATGTAACAGTATATCATAAAGTGACTTCTTTATCAAGAGGTGATTTTCATATTTCATAAACACTGAAAACAGAAAGATTCAAAAAAACATTTCATTTTTAGTTTTATTCTTATTACTCTCCAGGATAAACTTCGGAAAATTTAACGCTTTTGGGTTTTGTTTCATGACTGTGGAAGTTGTATTTTCAAATGTCTCTAATGAAATTCCCTCTAGTTTTCAACGTACTATAATTTCAAGAATGGGAGTGAAGTTTTTTGTCACTTCTGGAGATATAATGTATTTTTTTACCGCAGTTCCAAATGTGAAAAGTGAAAAAAGATTGTTTTATAAAATCAACTTTCTCATTCCGGCGCCAAATTTCAAGGATTACAATATGTTGACTGACAGCTTCAAAAATCGTCAGTTATAACTACGAATAGTGATTCAATGAAATGATAAGAAAACTTTAACCCAGTCGTGAACTCTATAAAGTCGAATATAATCCTTTTCATCCATTATTTACGTACCAAGAAATTCTTATTGAAATCTTTTGACCACTCATCGAACTGTAGAGATTTTATCAATTTTCTTCAATGGTGATTCATATTGATTATGCTCAGTTTCTATGTTAAAATTCTTGATTGAATTAGGTGATTACCCACCATTGACATGTTCACGTTGAAAAAAAATGCATCGGATTTAACGATGGTCGAGTTAACATTCCTGATTCACCACACTTCAGTAATATGATTATTCAAATTATTTTTAAATCAAACCGAGAATCGAACAATTTTAATGAGCTGACTTCATTTGTGCTTGTTTCGTTTTATGGCCTACTTCGTTATTATTTTATATTACATTTTTATCCGATGATCATGCAGATACTGATATATTTCTCGCTGAAAGTTCGTTAATTATGGGATATAATAATGGCTGAGAGCATAATTATTTGTCAAAATTAGTCAATTACATGTCAAAGTTTCAATTCATCGTCACTCCATTTTAAATCGAAATTTCAGTAGGATTGTTTTTTGTTTTACATTACAGTGATTGAACATAAAATATTGATTTACACTGATGGATTAAATAACTATTTCTGTTCTGTGATGAAAACACCACATAGAGATTCATAGAATATGTATCACCGAAGAATTTGAACAATAAAAAATTGTTGCAAATTCTCAATGCAGTTAGTTTCATTCTAGTGAAAGACACTGTTAACTAAATAAAAAAACCGATTGCAAAAGATACTTTCATCATCAAGCAGAGAGTAATTCAAGTTCTACAAGCTCTTAAGATATGTTCTAAATGTCACTACAAATGTGGTTCGTTTAGATCATTAGTTTTCAAAAAACCGTGTTTCGTTTGGTGGTTTTCACACTACCATCCAGATTTCTGGTAAGTTTCTACCACAGTTATTATCTTATGAAACATATATACTTGACCACTTGAAAGCGGGACACATCCCTAAAATTTGCATCTTTTCTCCGATCTCGAAGATATAATAATTCTGTGGTCGAATCATAGGTAGACATTTTTTATTATGAATTAATTCAAGTATCTGATGGACTGAAAAGTAAAATACACATCGAATAATCTCGATAACTATGTGGTAAATTAAATAAACGAATGAACATATTCATTTTGATCAATTAATCATTGGATATATTAAACAATTGAAAAACAATATTCAACAAATTATTGTAGACAGAAACAGAAATGAACGTTCATTACATTTTTGTTGTTTCAACAAATCCGCCATTCATTACCATCTTCCAATATTCAATATAACTTTTCTCAGTTATTCTGCTGTATTTTCTGCACAGGCTGCAAATATTCTGATGCGTAGTTCTTCTACCGACTGTGATCTGGAGTTCAAAATTTTTTGCTTCACAGCACCCTAAAGAAAATGTCTAGCGGTATCAGGTTCGGTGATATTGGCGGCCACTCAATCCATCGATTTCCATAATTATTATTTAGACGTCATAACAGAAGGTTATGAAACTTCAAATTAAGGCGATCCTGCTCTGGTAAGTTACGTATTGCGTCCCAAAACTCATTT